TAGCCCCAGCTGGCCTGGCACTCACTATGTAGACCAGGCTGGCCTCAATCTCACAGAGATCTGCCTGCCTCTGCCTCCTGAGTGCCAGATTAAAGATGTGCACCACCACGCCCAGTGGAAGGATCTTTTTAAATTCCTTTTGTGAGCAAGGCAACCAGAGGCATCTGCAGCATATCTGACAATGCAAGAGGTTAGAGACAGAAAACCAGCTCCAGACCAAGTCAGGAGAAATCGGCCTGCTTCACAGTGTGCACATTTAAGAGACAATATGCCAGCTTTTTGCTAGGTTACTGTATAATGTGCTATTTAACATAACTGTGTTTTCCATTTTTGCAGGTACTGGTTTTGGATTAGGAATTGTTTTCTCCCTCACCTTCTTTAAAAGTAAGTGTGACTTTCACTGACTGCATACAAACGCTGCTGCCCATCCATTTACGGGGTTAGGTAGGCACGACAGAGAATGTGCACTCAGAGGTCAGAGTGGGCTGGACATTGCCCGCATTCCCTAGGGGCACTGAGTCAGGGTTGTCTGGTGTCTTAAACATGACATCCTTTGAAAAGCTTGCACTTTATGTCAGTGAGTCATTGGCTAAATCTACATACTCAAATATTTCTGATTAATTAATTGCAAATTTTTTCTCAAGTAGCTTGAAAATGAGACTCTTAATCATGATAAAAACAAGTGGATCGGAAATACTAATGCTCTTGCCCAAAATTCCAAGCAAATAGCAGGCAATATTTCTTTGGGGAAGAACTCACAAAGTTTAGCTATTGACTAGATGGATCACCTTAACCTCTTTACATGAAGAAATGACAAGGACCACGTGACCAGAGATCATAGATCAGTTTAAGTGAGCGCCATTGTTTACTATAACCAAAGTTTGTGGATATTGTGAAATGACATTTTAAAAATTCGAGCACTTTACTGGAAGACTTGCTTCTGATTAAAGTTAAGAAATTAGTTATGGGGTTGGCAAGATGGTTCAACAGTTAAGAATGCTTGCTGCCCTTGCAGAGGACCCGAGTTAGGTTCTCAGCACCCACTTTGGGTGACTTATAACTGCCTGTAGCTCCAGCTCCAAGAACATCTAACTCTGGTCTGACCTCCACAGGTACTTACGTAAACACACACTTACACATAATTTAGAATAATAAAAGTAAAAGTCCAGTGTGGTGGCGCACGCCTTTAGTCTCAGTGCTTGGGAGGCAGAGGCAGGTGGATCTCTGTGAGTTCAAGGCCAGCCTGGTCTACATAGTGAGTTCCAGGCCAGCTGGGGCCACAGGGAGACCCTGTCTAAAAAGGACCAGAAGAAAAAAAAATAAATCTTGAGAGAGTACCCCCAGGTGTGAAGGCACACACCTTTAATCCCATCACTTGGGAGACAGAGGCAAGCGGATGTCTGTGAAATTGAGGCCAGCCTGGTTCACATAACAATTTCCAAGCCAGCTGGGGCTACAGGGAGACCCTGTCTCAAAACAATAAAAAAGTTAAGGTACAGCCTGCCCTACATAGCGAGTTCCAGGACAGCTGGGGCTACAGGGAGACCCTGTCTCAAAACAATAAAAAAGTTAAGGTACAGCCTGCCCTACATAGCGAGTTCCAGGACAGCTGGGGCTACAGGGAGACCCTGTCTCAAAAAAAAAAGACTGGGGGAAAAAAAAAAGTTAAGGTGAGAGGTGATTAGCGCGGATAGAGAATTCTAGCAACCCAGGTACTTAAATGTTTGCTAATTAGTGAGTATAGTGATTAGCCTTCTCTTTTGGAGGGTGATGATGGAGCATTCCCAGTGGTGGTCAGTGTGGTGCCTGCCTCTGACAGAATCCTAAGCAAGTGTGGTGGCTTAGGAATCCTAAGTCCTGGTGTGGAGGCTTTATCTCCTCTTAACCAGTCCCTGTTGGGATTTCCCTCTTTTTGCTCAATAGGAAGAATGTGGCCCATAGCCTTTGGTTCTGGCATGGGATTGGGGATGGCCTACTCCAACTGTCAGCATGACTTCCAAGCTCCATATCTTCTACATGGAAAATATGTCAAAGTACGTATGGAATTGATGAATCTCTTCTTGCAGAATTCAGTAGAATGTGTGTAATGAATAGGCTGTATAGTGCCCTGGGAAGGGCTGTACTAATGCCCTGGAGGGGCATTACTCCTTTGATCCTAAAAGGATCCCCTTGAGCCTTGGGATGCACCTGTGCACTCAGCTACATCATGTACCTGTCCGCTACTAGAAGGCACCAGCTCTCTGTAAGCGGCACTTTGAGCTTGCAGTGTCAGCGTGCCCTGTAGACCTCACACACACAGTTGAGCTCTGAACACAGCTGGGATTTGGTAGTCATTGGGGCTTTTTTTTCTGAAGATGGTGGACTTGATCAAGTCCCTGGTGGTTCTGCTGCAGTCCTCACCAAAGGTGAGGTTGTGATGATGCAGAGCAGCTGGAAGAGGTAGTCAGCGTTGCTCGAGATGATTGGCTGGCTGCTGAGGGATTTGAGTAGCAGGATCATTGGAGGTGGGTGGTCAGGGATGGAGTGGTATTTATTTCTGTATCCCCAGGGCCTGCAATGAAATGGGTACAGAAATGACAGGTAATCTGAGTCTTATTTCACTCCATCAGACTGAGGCAGTAATGGCCCTGCCTGGCTTGCTGAAGTCTAACCATTATAATACCCAGCCTCCTCTGACCCACAGTCATCCCCCGCCCCAGCATCTTCCACTGACAGGCAGCAGGTGGGCTAGGAAGTCTAGGTGCAGGCCTGTCATCTGCTTCCTGTGGCATCTACAGTTATTTCTCTTTTGAGCTCCCCTTCCCATCCATACAGTGAGGGTAGTGATTTTGCCCTAAGGAGTTTATCATTATTGTCGTTTTGGGACAAAGGGGTGCTGGGGAGTTGTACCTAGGGCCTCACTCATACATAGCCTGTGCTCTACCACTGAACTCTAGACCCACCCCCACCATAGTTGTTTGGAGTATTAACTAGGAGATGCTTTTAAGCTGTAGATGCTATATATGAATAGCAACATGGGCTAAATAGTTAGACCAGCCAAGAATGGGTGATTGACTTGACCATTGTTCTACCATTAAAACAAGTAGAGCGGAAAATGTGGAGCAAATGTGTGTCCTAATTTGGTCAAGAGTTATAGCCCCAGGATCACCAAATCTCAACAGAACCCTACCACAGCTGTGCAGCCTCCACTGTAGAATATTCTCCAACTCTTAGTGGCCTGCCACCCTGCCTGTGTGTGCTGGAGAGAGAGTGCAGAGTCGAAGGTCACAAACTGCGTCTACCACAGCAAGGGTGAGCTCAGCAGAAGGCCAGTGCAAGAAGAGGCTGCGTCCACCAGGCTGCTGCTAGGCAGCTGCTGCCCACAGCTCTTCACTGGCAGCAGAGCCAGGTCTGGGTTGTCAGCGGGAACAGAGAGAGCCTGGGAGTTTCTGTTGTTCCGAGCTGAGTTGTCCTAGATAATGCCCAGACGTGATGCTACGCATATTATATTGTAAGGGCTGGGAGGTGCTGTGGAAAATGTTACAGTTTTTACAGCTTTGCGTGCTGCTCCAAAATGGCCTTGTAACTTCGTTGGGACTTGAGTCTGTGCCTGGATGCTGTCATCCTCTCTTCTCAGTGGAGGAACAAAATCCCATTTTGGGCTTCAGCAGCGTGGCCGCATTGTGATAACTGGTTGAGTGCCGCTGGGCCCTGTGGACAGTCCTGGGGTTTTCTTCACAGTCTTTTCCTCCAGACCTCCCAGTGGATTTTGAGAAAGATGTTACTGTCATTCAGCAGAGGGGACACAGTCTCACAGAGGTGAGGAAGCTAGCCAGAGACCATTGGATTAGCAGCTGCCGGCTCAGCTCTGCTCTGCGCTCACCTGTGTCACCCTCGATCAGTCCTGCCCCTCTGTCCGTCTTTTCCCCCTCAGACTTGGGAGCCTCTGCTACACACCTAGGTGGGATGGGCCTGTCTTCTTGTGAGGCACAAAAGCAAAAAGTGCGCTATGTTGGGGCCTTGGTCCCAGGTATTCAACTAAGGCAGCAGCCACAGTGTCAGCATGTCCCCTGCCTACTCTAACTGGATGTCCTCGCTTCACAGGAGCAGTGACTAATGCCGAGAACATCCCAGCGGGAGGAAAGAAACCATGTTTATTCCTCAGGAATACTGAAGTGCCCTGGAGTGGCTGATGTTCTGTGACAATGCCATCGGCTATGCTTTCAATTCCAGCCACTATTTATGTGATTGAAACCAAGTCTGTTTCTTTTGTATTTTCTCTCTGGAAATTGTAAGGCGGCGGTCTTAAAATAAATTAATTAAAAATGGGAAGCCCAGCGCATGGCCCTCATTCCTTTGCCTTTGGTCTCTGGGAGTGTCAGGAGGATGGGTTTGAGAGGCCTGGCTGCAGCCGTGACCTTTCTGAAGTCTCAGCCAGGAGTGTCCCCTCTCCTCTGACGTGCAGTTCCAGGTTCTGTGCCCCTTGGAGATTGGTGGAACCTCCGTATGGTCTGATGATAGTGACTGGTTAAGGGCTTGAGAGGTGCTTTCTCTTAGCTACTGTTCTCACTGTGGACCTGGCAGGGCTGCTTAGGCAGCTGCTGCATTAGCAGGACCCGAAACCTGATTGGACAGCTGTTCGATTGATGTCAACCCCAGAGCTGCGTGGGAACTTGGCATAGCCCAGTTCCGGCCCTTGTGTTTCCTCCTGGCAGTATGGAGGGCTGGAGGCCTACCCACCTGAATTGAAGGTCATGCTGAAATTTGAGGACAGAAGGGCCACTTAAATACCTCTGTATTTGTTTCCTGGGTTCACTGTGCTGGTAGGCAGGGCATGGAGTATTTTACAGTTTCTCCTGACAATGGGCAGCACACTTGCGTGGGTGTACTGTGAAGGCTCCAGAACATGCTAGCGCTCATAGCTGAGAAATAAGTAATTCACAGAGCTAGAGCATGGGGCGAAGGAGAGGACACGGAGAGGGCAGAGGGTGTGGGAGCAGCGACGTCCGGCATATTGATAGAGCCCCAGTGAGTTTGAGAGTGGCTGTCCACTCCTTTTCCTTAAACGTGCTGGGCTGCTCTGCCAAGGATGGGCTGTGCCCAGGACCACAAGTTATGGCCATGGCTTGCTGAGCCACTTGGCTGTTTTTCACATGGCCCTCTAAGTCCCATGATCAAAGCAGCCCATGCCATTAAAAGAAAAATAGCCGTGTGGCGGGGTTCTTTCCTTCCACTGTTCTCTTCATATTTGCTTTATATGTCAGTATCCCCTCTCCCCACTCTCAGAGAAGGAACAGGTCCCTGTCAAAAGAGACAAAGGGAAAACTGCCCGCTAGTTCTCTAGATAAAACAGAAAATAGGGAGTTCACTGGGACATAGGAATTAAACTTCTCTATTTCTTAGGTAGCTAGGGTTTAGGCCTCTGTTTGGACAGATCTGGTTGCCCAGTACCTTTGGAGCTCTGCTAAAATGCCCTGAGGAACCAGTCCACTCTGAGGAAATGGTTCTGGGTGGAGGCTAACAGTGCTAGCTGTTTGTCTTAGTCCAGAGTGTTTTGTATTCCCACCTCGTCGCTCTTAGAGATTCGGGGAAGCACAAAGCTTGATCTTGCCCTTTGCTCCCTGCTCCCATCTCAGCTGAGCCATCTGAAAGTTCCAGCGTGTTGGCAAAGACACACATTCTGTTCTACTTTGAGTTTCATTAGAAATTCAAGTCCTCTGGGGGCCCTGTCCTTGTGGGGTTGTGAAACTTTGACTTTACCCCTTGTCTACCTTTCTGGAACCAAATACAAGGAAGTTCGTGGGTCTGGGGAGTGAGTGATGGGGGCCCAGCTAGGCACCGGATACTGGAGTAAAACTGGCACCCCAAAAGTGGCCTGCTCTGCCAACATTCATAAATACATACAGTCTGAACTTGACACTGTAGAATTTGGCTCAGAACAATATGTATTTTGAACTCATTTAGGTGAATGACTTTGGTGTTCTGAGTACCCACTGGGGAGCCTCTGTCAGGCACATCTGCCTTGTGCAGGAGCATGCCTTGTTCTGAGAAGTGGCCTCAGAACATGCTCCACTGAGCTGTCCCCTTGAGTGAGTGTCATCCTCTCCTTTCAAAAGACCTAATAATGCAGTCCCAAAATCCCACTCCAGGAAACACAGACACGGGCTGGAGATGTCTCTTGTTTTTGCTGTTGGTTCTCTGAAACCTCACTGTTTACATTTTTAAAAAATGTAACCAACCCGTAATTGCATTTTGCTTGTCATGGTACAATCTGATTGCATTGTTGGAAGGACTATTTTTGAACCTGTCCAAATAAACTCTGCAAAATATTTCCACAAGGATGTAGTCCGTGGAGCTGGGACAGCCTTCCTCCAACCGGTCCTGAGACTCAAAGGGTTCCTGCTGCATGCTTTCTAATTACATAAATGCAAAGGGGTGGAAGGGAGAAAGTGGAAATTCTAAGTACCAAAAGGAATGTTAAATTTAGAATAACAAGCTCATCTGGAAGCCATCACCATGTTTTCCTTCAAGTGCTGCAAAGCACCACTTCTCCGACAGCAGAGGATGGTATCAGGGCACAACATTGTCCTGGGCAGGAGCTGGGGAGATGTCCTGTGTCCAGTAAGCATGTCTGTGTGGAACAGGCATGGGTCAGGGAGAACCGGCAGCAGTAAAGGGCCCAGAAGGAAGGGGACAGAGGGGCACAGGGGAGAGGCAGGGCTGGACAACGGGAGACGACAGACCTGCAGGATTGAGTCAGATCCCTGGACCTAAGTGCCTACTCCATCCCTTATCTTCCAGGACTCTGGGGAGAGTCTTCATCTCTTCAGACTTCAGATTCCTAATCTGTAAAGGAGAGGAGAGAAAATCTCTACCCTATAGACCTTGAGGATCAAATGGATGTGTCAGCATAAAAACACTGGCTGGGACAGGGGCACGGCTCAATTATAGAACCTTTGCAAGAGAATGCTCTAGGCCCTGGATTCCCTCCTCAGCGCTGCAAAAGAAGTATAAAGCTTTTACTATTTGAATCAAAATATATGAGCTGAGTGTGGTGGCACAAGCCTTGAATCCCAGCATTCAAGAGGCAGAGGCAGGCAAATGTGAGTTTGAAGCCAGCCTGATCTACCTAACAAGTTCTGGGTCAGCCAAAGCTATAAACAAACAATAACAACAAAAATGAAGTAATTTAAAAAAATAGAGTGTATGGTATTCAGGTAAGCCAGGTGTGGTGGCTCACAGGCTTTAATCCCAGCACTCTGGAGGCAGAGGCAGGCAGATCTCTGTGAGTTCAAGGCTAGCCTGGTCTACATATTCCAGGCCACCTGCCCAATACTCGGGAGAGGCAGAGGGGCAGATCTCTGTGAGTTCAAGGCTAGCCTGGTCAACATATTCCAGGCCACCTGGGGCTACACGGAAACCTTGACTCAAAAAGACACCCCCCCCCAAAAAAAAACAGGTGCCTCGGTGCTTAAGAGTTAAAAGTAGTGACTGCTCTTCCAGAGGACTTGGGTTCTGTTCTCAGCACCTATATAGCAGCTAACAACCATCTGTAACTCCAGGGGATCCCCCATGCCCTCTTTGGTCTTCAAGGGCATTGTATGTACATGGTGTTCTTACAGGTAAAACACATAAAATAAGAACAATTAATTAAAAAAGCTCATTATCATCTTTTTTCTAATCTGGGTCTAGCCAGTTTGAGCCAACATATATTTCGATCCTTTTAGATGAATATATAGTTAATATTGATTGCGCATATACTAGCATATGTAGTTACTGTTCACATGTATACGATAATTGCTGCAACAATATTTTTATTTGAGATTTTCTTTTTTTTTTTTTTTTTTTTTTCGTCTTTTTGAGACAGGGTCTCCCTGTAGCACCCAGATGGCCTGGAACTCACTATGTAGACCAGGCTAGCCTTGAACTCACAGAGATCCACCTGCCTCTGCCTCTGCCTCTGGAGTGCTGGGATTAAAGGCGTGCACTACCATGCCCAGCTCCTCTTTTTAAAAATTTTAAAATTTCTTTTCATGTGTATGAGTGTTTTGCTACATGTAAGTGCACTTGTGTTGTGCAATGCCCATAGAGGGCAGAAGAGGGTGTCAGATCCCCTGAAACTGGAGTTACAGTTGTTAGCCACCATGTGGGTGCTGGGATTTGAACCCAGGTCCTCTGCAGGAACAGTAAGTGCTCTAAACCACTGAGCCATCTCTCCAGCCCCCACTTTATTTTTTTAAGTAACCCATGGACTCCAATTTGTGCTATCCATATACTCCTGGGTGTGGGGACTTCCACTGGAGCATGAACAGCCTACCAGACGTCACACTCTTGAAGAAACCTGGCCCTCCCTCCCCCAGAAGCCATCAGCTGTCCATAGCTCTTCAGTTAGAGGTGTGGGCTCACGAACCCCTTTTCTCTCCATGCTGAAACATTGACTGGCTTGATCTTGTGCAGGTCTTATGCAGGCAACCACAGCCGCTGTGAGGTCATGAGTGCAGTGTTCAGGAGAAGTACTGTTATCCTTACTTTATGCTTGAGATTTTGGATGGTTAAATGAACTTGCCCGAGGACAAGCTGAACGGGGCGCTAGTACAGGTAGCCTATGACCCTGGCTCCACAGCCCAGGCCCTTCCCTCAGCTCTGCTCCTCAGGAGCACTGGGGGATGGGTCCTTTCAAGGTGCTTTGATTTTCTTTTAAACTTGATTTGATTTGACACACTTAAACTGGTTGAAATCGATAATGACCTGTTTCATCAAGAGGAAGTTGATAAAAATGGTTGATCAATTTGAAATTGGCTGTGTTTGTTTTTAAAGTCCCTGTTTATTATTCAGAAACAATTGTGGGGCTTTTAAGATGTATTTGCTTGCTTAAACTTTGTTAAGGTTTTTTTCAAATTTTTATTTTATGTGTATGAGTAATTATCTGAATATATGTATGTGTACCATTTATGCATGCCTGGTTCCTGTAGAGGCCAAAAGAGGACACTGGATCCCATGGAACTGGAGTTACAGGCAGTGTGAGCCGTGTGGTATAGGTGCTGGAAACTGAACCCAGGTCTTCTGGAAGAGTAGTAAGTAGTGCACTTAACTTCTGAGCCGTCCCTCTAGCCCCTGAAACAATTGTTAATCAGCTTTGGTCATTACAACTTTTTTTTTTTTTTTTTGAGACAGGGTTTCCCTGTAGCCCTCGGTGGCCTGGAACTATTACTCTATGTAGACCAGGCTGGCCTCGAACTCACAGAGATCCACCTGCCTCTGCCTCCTGAGTGCTGGGATTAAAGGCGTGCGCCACCATGCCCAGCTATGGTATGAAAATAATACAGGGAAATACTTT